AAGAGAAGATAAGGAATGAGTGCATTAACACCATTGTGTTCGATAAAAAGCCATGTCACTCAATGTTTCAAACCAATGGTTACAATAATCAATCTGATTATGATAATGTGGTTTTCACCAAATAACATGACTTAATTCAATAGTGAATAACTTTATTGACTGCTTCCACGTATTGGTTTGACCACCTTTTGATTATTTTCAACCTGATAAAGTAGTAGGTTTACTATGTGTAACATATGTCCCAATCACTCCCATTGATGAAGACTCACTACCACAACGAACAATTTGTCGTCTTTGCCTAATACTGCGTCGAACTTCAGCAATACTCATTCTGTAATTTTATTCTCTCAAAAATGCCAGCTGACATAACTTTCAGAGAAACAGTAGAGTGCCTGACACGTATATTTGGTGAACGATCGTCAATTTTTTTACACTAAACACCAGCGTCTCCAGCTTGTAAAAAAGCCACAGGACGATTATGTGACGTATGCAAGCATCGTGAACAGGGAATGTGAGCGGTTCCGTTTACAGGAAATGTCCAGATCAGTTACAATCTGCAGTGCATGCAAACAACAGAACATGGATTTTAGCGAGGATCGAACAAGATCCTAATATCAGTCTGCAATCAGTATCAGAAGAATGTCAAAGAATAGTGAATTTGAAGCATGATACAACTCTCGTAGAAATGAACAGTAGACACGTGGAAGTTAATGCTTTGTGGAAATCTTTTAATGGAAATAAAGATTCGTACTCCCAGCGAATCCCAAATCGAATGAAATCCGAAACGTACTGTCGGAGATACAGTGAGTGTCATTTTGGTAATGTTTGCTATTTTAAAAAGTTTGTTTCCGACGTGGTATTATTATTTGGACACATAGATATTGGTACAAGGAAGCACCAAATACATATGCGCCACACAAATGATTTGATTTGTGAGAGGGCTGTGATACTGCCCAGGAGCCTAGATCGAAGCAGGCGTTTTTCTTACGAGGACACACCCGGAGCCTCCGACATAAAGACCTGATCCACAAGGCAGTGGAGCAACGTTAGAAGATGCAGACCCATGGTAACCGATGACTAATAATTGGTTTATACACTATTTGTTCCTTCAGGATACTGGAGCCCATGTGCACCATTGGTTTAGAATCAGGGTTTTCCAACTCTCCTAAGTGGACTCTCCATGTCCACCAACCCGGTTAAAGCACCGGATATTCGCTTTTCGTCCTCTCAATTTCGTGAACAACACCCTCGCCATGAGAAGGCAGTAAGTAGGACTCCCCTGGCAGAGGCTATATATGCGTGGCCATGTGAGAGCATTTCGAAAGGGTGAGCGGACTCTCCCCACTCTCGGTCGTACCAGGGCATTTGTGGGAGTTCGATGTGGTAAATATGGTCATGCTCAAGTATGTTGTAAAAGTAGGCCAAAGATTGCCGATCGTCAGCATAAGTTCCGTAGAAGAAATATGACGCGGACGTCAAAAGAAATACCACATAGTTCGAATGTCGTTCTGGCCAGAAATTATGCTCAATTCTCCTCTAAATGGAAGTACGTAGCTATCTGTTTTAATAGTAAACCTGTTAAGCTGCAAATTGATACGGGGTCTGACATAACGTTAATTTCTAGAGAGACTTGAATAGAACTTGGTCGACCTCAATATGAACTTACATATCATAACGCTAAGAGTGCGACAAAAACTAATATTACTCTTCCTGGAGAAATGCAGCTACCTCTCACATTGAGTAACAAGACTGACCGGAAAATGTTATATATCTGGGAACTGAAATACCAACTTATTAGGTATTGATTGAATGAATAAGTTTAGTTTGCGAGATCTAGCGTTAGAAACACAGAAAGGTGAATCTCAGCCATGATCAGAGAAGAACAAGCCTTGGGTTCGAGTACACATCGACTATGCTGGACCAATAAATATGCAATATTTTTTGGTAGTGGTAGATTCTTACTTTAAATGGCCTGAAATCTATTTAGTACGAAGACCGTCTACATCTCAAACTCTGTTACATCTCAGACAACCATTTGGTAGATTTGGAACACTTGGTGTTTGGCTTCAGATAACGGAACGCAGTTTACGTCATCAGAATTTACGGAGTTCTGTGAACAAAATGGAACTGAACATATTAGAACCTCACCGTATCACCCTCAGTCAAATGGGCAAGAAGAAAAGTTTGTGGATATTCTTAAGCGAGCTCTTTTAAAGATGGGACAAGATAACGTAGAAGAAACTCTGCAACAGTTTCTAATTACACCTAGTCCAAACTCTCAAAAAGGAAAATCACCAGCTGAAATATTTGGCCGACCAATTAAGACATTTCGTGATGTTTAGAACTCGGAAGACAGAATGAGTGTACTACAAAAAATAAGAAAGGGATTGCCCAAAGATTCGAGAATTCAAAGCAGGTGACTTAGTCTATGCACGTGATTTCTGGCCTTGAAAGCCAAAATGAATATTTGGATGTATTAAAAAAAAGACGAGGGACGGTATTGTTTGAAGTGATGGTCGAACATACACTAATTATCAGACACATCAATCAACTGCGAAACAGAAAAAATTTTAGTGACTCATCTAAAGCCAAACCTTCGCCAATGGAAATATTATGTGATACATTTAATATCCCACCACGACCACCACAAGTTGAAATAAGAAGAAATGAGTCGACATCAGAAGCTAGTCGGTCATCAAAAGAACAAAAAAACGAAGTTTTTCAAAGGTGAAGTTATACGAAGAAACGTCACGAGCGTGGTGATGTGTGGGCGAGAATGATAATAATTGGCTGTTTGCTTAGCCAGACCTGTAGATAATCAGATAGGTAACCAGATGAGCTATACATTCTCCTATCCTTATTATTATTGATTGCTGTCGGTTTGGGTGTGGAAATATACTTACGTTCTAGTCGGGCTAATCACGTGTTCTTGATCTGAGTTGTGTTGAAGCCCTGTAGAATAGACACTGGGAGGGAATCTAGTGTAGATATTCGCCTAAGGCAAATTAACATCCCATTCGAGTAGACAAGGAAAACCGAGGGATATTATATATATTCTTTTAATTCCCGTCAATACTAGTGTTAGTATATCTCATCAAATGGACTGAATAATACGAAGGGATTATATCCCGATATCGCGAATTGATTGTTGCTAGAACTGTAAAGCACCGGATACAGATTCGGCGCTTACCAAGAGTCCTGATGGCTTCGGAATCGATCACGTTGGTAGAATGCCTAAAGCTGAAGAGCCAAATACAAGGACGAAAAAAATAAATGCCCTTCAATTTCCAACGGTTGTCTAACTATGATCAGTTCCTAATGTAAACTATAATGTCCTAGTTACTTTTACTTGAAACATCTCAGTATGATGTAAGATTATTACATCATTATAAAAAAGTTGAAATCTACCACCGTTCAAACTAGTCAACTTCCAACCATCAATTTTGTTGTCCCACACGTATTTAAGTAATTCTATTTTCACATGCAGAAAATGAATGTCAATTCGATATTATCCATATTATATATTTATGATATTATCATTCTTAAAGCAATGATCAATGAGTAAAATAAGATCACTGATTGAGGATAATTGTTAACGAGTGAAAATGTGGTTGTTAGTAGAACTTTCCAAAATTAAATGAAATTGAATAGGGCTCGAACGCAGGGAAAAAAACAAAAGAAAATTGGTACCAATCGATTCATGTAGCACGGAATGCACTATGATGAATGACTCTAAGATCCCGCCTGAGGGGTCGTGAATAAACACTGTTGAGGAGTTCAATACTGCGAAACGTCTGTCCAGTGCTTCCAGTAGTAGTCTAACTTAGGTAGGTTCAGGGTTTTAATGGAGTTCAACAGATTTTGAAAGGTTGGACTTTAGCAATGAAATTCAGGACACATGTTTTCAGCTAAATAACGCTCTTCATAAATTAGATGTATCTGCATCTCAGTGCTGATATTTAAAATGAGACTCGAACCTATTAATTTTATTTAGTTTTGAAAGCTTACACATGCAATAAGCTATTCAACTCAGACATTCAGTAGCATGTTCAACAAGTATAGCGTGTAAAACATAATCTAAGTGTTGATAAATTCAGGACGAAGTTCTGATTATTCTTTGTTGGTATATGTGTATCCTGGGCGGCATCCACCGATATAATCATTTTGCAACAGGTTTTAGCAAAAGCTTTAAAGACAAGGAATCAGATCTTTCATCAATCATCGTCATCATGGAGCTAAGTGTCAGTCAGTCAGCCGCAACGTAGGACCAGGCACGTATATGCATCGGTTCAAGATGCCATACCGCATAAGCACAACAAGATGAACACCGGATTCATAGAAGTGGTTAATCCAGTGGTGGTAATATATAAAAGAAAGGTTGCATATAAGGAGATAGTACAGGAAGAAATAATTAGTTCGTAGAAAGAAAGATATAAAGTAATTTTAATTTTAAATCTTATGGGAAGACAGAGAGTGTATACATCTACGCCATTGTGATCGATTCTGAGCCATGTCACCCACAGTCTCCAACCATTGGTTACAATAGTGGCGCGGATCCCAACCAAGTAGTCTGCATCTATCAACATGGCTAAGACTAGAAGTTAGTGACTTTATGGAGTGATGCCACGTTTTGGTTTGGCCGCCCCTAACTTGGAGCTAGGTGAGTTGAGAGTATATTGAGAGCTATTAAAAAAATATTAAACAACTCCCCAATTACCTACAGTCAACCAGCATTAAGTACAAGAAATGTACAGTTATTTGAAAGATGTGACTAATTACAGAATAGAACTTGGTGAGTATACTTTATACAATATATATTATGAGAGATCATAACTAATATCCCATTAAATAATGTCAGTGTTTATACAATTTTATCCGAAGATAATCTTAACTTGAATTCATAACTACTAGACGTAAGCCTTATCTCAAAAAACACACAGGGTAAGTTCAAATGAAAAAATGATGCATATATATAAAGAGACATTTTACAAACAGCTTACTTCGGACGAATACTAGCACGAATCAAACGACCTGGATCAACTTGCATTTGTTCCATTTGCATGACTTGTTCACGTAACGTACCGGCTGTAACACGTTTAGCCCTATAGTTATTAAGATAGACAATGAAAAAACGATAGTCAGATAAGCGATAGTGAATAGACTAGACAGTTGGATTAATCAAGAGGTTAACGTTGAAGTTATCTGCAACGTGTTTTGATGTGTAAGAAGTTTGATATACCCCTGGAACTTTCGATCCTTAGCATCCTTTCATTAATAAAAAAAAACAAACTTAGATTAATTCACCCTCCAGGTAATTGAATATGACTCACGCTATCAGTCTGAGGGTTAATGATACTAACTGGTTGCCCAGGCCGAAGAAGGTGGGGTGGTGTTCGGAATTTTGAACGTCCAAGTGATTGAAAGTTGAACGTCTTAACCATTAGGCCATTGTTTCATTCATTTATTTGGTGGATGAGTACTGCATAGAGATTTTATTTCATGCTCTAATTTGAACTATGTTTGCATTTTTTCACCGGGTATATTGAAGATGAGTTACACTGATATTTTCTAAACAGATAGGCATGAACAACTCCAGACGCTTGAGATGAAATACTTACGAAAACTTCTACTACAATATGCATCATTCATTAGCTGAATGAACAAAAAAGTGGCCGAAAATTATCTGTACAACACATATCGATCATCGAAAACGCTGCAGATAGCCGTCATGTTTAAAGACAATTTTTAAAACTTAGAATTAAATTTCAGAAACTGATATAGAACACTACGTATAAACAAAATCCTTCATAGAGATTAATTCAGCAACTCTTATATTGACGAGAAGCAGTTGATTGAATCGTGTATGTAAGAAAAATGATACACAATACTGACTCGGTTCAAATAGCTCAGTGATAACATCTCTGAATCCGAAACTAGGTAACCTTGCTTTGAACTTACTGAGACATCGGTCCTCTCAAAATTACAAATGCACCTTATTGAAGAGCCGCAAATAGCACGAAAATTAAGTCCAGATTTTCCTAACAACTACCTCGAACCGCCTAAGATCAACGTTTACTCATCTTAATCCGAAGAGTAATGATGTGTACTGTCATAAGAAAAATTGTCGCTCAATAAACTTTTCTTTAGCGTACATAGATATGTTCAAAAAAATCTTTAGTTTGATCAACAAATCGTTATTCACTTACATCATTTTACCCGTTCCTTAATTTTGTAAACGTAAAATGAAAAATTAGTGCAACTTGCTTTGATTTTATAGTCTCACTTAATCAGTGATATTCATAACATTCGATCAACCAACTATGCAGAGAACGACCAAGAATTCCGAAATCTAAATTATGTTTCTATCTCATGAGTAATTATATGTTAGTATATAGAGAGAAATCTGGCTCCTACATATCGGACGGTCTTGAAAGTAAATGTGATCTATTACAGGGTTTGTTCGGTGTATCACAACCTACTAACTTAGTATTGTCTATTGTATCTTCAAACTGTCCTAATAGATTCCTTCTAAACGCTTCGTACAACAGTCAATGAATCCATGAAATTACATATTACACTTTTCAGTACAACCAACCAACAGAAATCAAAAATGTCTTAGAAAAACGAATGTAGATTATACGAGTGAGGAGATTACGATATCATCTAGGATCCTACACATCCATCAACTCGATCAAGGCGCCGGATATTCGCTTTCTTTCTCTCAGTTTCGTAAACTACACCCCCGCCACAGGGCGAAGAGTAGGACATCTATGTGGCAGTGGTTGTATGAATGTAGCCATATCAGAGCGTTACGAGAGGGAGCTGACTCTCCACACCTTCGGCCGAACCAGAGCATTTAAAGGCTTATTTTCTGAAAGTTAACTTTTTCTTATTGTATTTGTTATAACGCGAAGTCCGCCTATTAGAGACCAGCGAATTATCGATCGGACTAAAGACACGTGAAACAAATAAGAGCAACCTAGAGTTCTGATTGGCCCTGCTTCCCTATCTGGCCCAGCCAGTTGAGTCCAGAACACAAGTCTCAGCCTCGGAGATATGAATCATTATATTTCCAACATACACTGCTTATATACCAAACAAACAGACTATATCGTATCATAAAATAGAAAGTAACATTTGTACAAGATTTGACATTCAGGAAATGACACAAATGAATATTGATCTATGAGGGAATGACACTATTTCTCACTCAGGAACAGCATTAGATAATTTCAGGGGTATTTTCTGAATACCTAACAGTATTGTAATATAATACAACATTGTTTATATTTGGTTGGTTTTTTAGGAACGTCTAGTGAGAAGTGACCAGAGTAGTTTAAACCATTAATGTGAGCCAACGAAACCGTCAATAGTATAGAAAAATGATCTCGCAATATAACGAATTATTTTTGTTTCGTTTAAAGCATGAATTATTATAATTCAGTAATAAATAAATGTTTGTTATCAGGAGATATTCAGTTTCGAAAACCTGTTCGGCTCAGAATTCGTACTGGTTCACAGTTCAAGTAAATTTCAGTTAAACTATGCTATACTGACGAATCAATTAAATTTCAGATAGCGTAATGTTATGATTAGTGTGTACCTTATCATAAGGTCTAAGTAAAAATCCTCTATTGTTTAGTTTGTAAGCTTTTTAAAATTAATATGTTGTGCAAACCTAAGTGCTGGATACAACAGCCCTGTTAACTAAAGCGAGCAGACCAGATTCAGTCAGGAAAAATATAAATCTTACACAAACAGCCCGGAAGCACGAAAAAACAAGCACATAACTCATGCGTATATGTGCAGAACAAAAATGTAATTGAGAAACAACACAAAATGGTGTACTAGAAGGGGAAGCGAACCAATTACCTTTAAGGTCTTTTCAAGTAGGAAATATAACCTGAAGGTGAAAACGTGCGCTTTTGGCGCGAAAACAAGAAATTCAATTTCCCATAACAAAACTACAAAAATGAGACTTTTACTAAATGATTTCTGGGGATCTAGCATCCCCAATAGTATAATAATTCAAGATAATAACTCGAATGCTTTTAGCACGAGTAATATTTTTCTCAATTCGATAAATGTGAAGAAATTAATAAGCCATTAAATACCGATAAAGTCCGAAACCGCGGTAGTATTAACAATAGTGAAAGACTACAACTACAACTCTGAAGAATACAGAATGTAAAAACGAAATTAGGCGTGAAAGAATAAGTAATTCATAAAGCTTCGTACTACTTTTAGTAGGAAAATATCAGTGTGTGTAGACACGCATACATGCACATACGAATCTAGCAACTCTGACACCTTGTGGCACAATAAAAAAAGATGAAACTTGCATTTTCCAAGCAATATCGCGTGTCAATGCAATCATAGGTATCAGTAAGAAACCAAACCAGAAAATACTGCATCCATAAACAGCAGAATCCTAAATAATACGAAGAAAAAAACAGGAAAAAGGAAATCACGGTAGTATTAACAATAGTGAAAGACTACAACTACAACTCTGAAGAATACAGAATGTAAAAACGAAATTAGGCGTGAAAGAATAAGTAATTCATAAAGCTTCGTACTACTTTTAGTAGGAAAATATCAGTGTGTGTAGACACGCATACATGCACATACGAATCTAGCAACTCTGACACCTTGTGGCACAATAAAAAAAGATGAAACTTACATTTTCGAAGCAATATCGCGTGTCAATCATCACTGCCAATGAACCTCTCGATCAACAGAGTCGAACGTTTCCATCATCTGAATTCTACTTATAGACTTGGTTGGTATCTGACGAAATCTCAGCACGGATTCGAAAAGTGCGTTCGGCTTTTACCAACTTACGTCACTTATGGCGAAGGCGAGATATCCGTCTATCAACTAAGGGACGAGTATACTGCGCGACAGTTCGTTCTGTTTTGTGGGTGACATGGCTCAGAATCGATCACAATTGCGTAGATGTATACACTCTCTGTCTTCCCATAAGATTTAAAATTAAAATTACTTTATATCTTTCTTTCTACGAAATAATTCTTTCTTTCTGTACAATATTCTTTCCTTTATACATTACACAATTGAGTTAACTGCTTCTATGATTTTGTTGTTCGTCTTGCTGTGTTCATGAGGTATGGTGACTACGAACAATGCATATATGTGCCTAGTCCTAAGTTGTAACTGACAAACGGTCTGGAGGTCGCCACGTCAGATGATGTTCTGCCTTATGCTTAAAGTTGGTGTCTGTTAGAAATAAACGGTTATCTGAACATAGCTGCAGCAGGCTGTCACCATTGTCTATTCGTTGAGCTGCGACACCGTAAGATCCGCCTAAGTGCCTCTCGATTTGGCGTGATATACCCATTTATGCATTAAAATCCCCAACCAACATTGCTACATCACTGCATTTAGCTTTTTGAAGAAGGTTGGATAGTTTACCATAAAATTCATCTGAGCTGTAATCAGTGGGAGCGTAAGCAGAAACAACGAAGGGGCAACGGCGTATGCTCCAATATTTTTGAGTTCTTAGTGTCTTGCGTAGCCGAACGACACACAAGTGATTGTCTATTGAAAACCAGTCCAACCTGTTCTACTTTTGAACTTAAGGTTATACCTACACTAGTGAGGCCACGAGAATTAGCAGTGAGGTTTTCAGATACACGAAAGGTGAATCATGCCAGCTCTTTACATTGACAAGGTGAGGCCGAAGAATAAATGTACTTGGATCCGGTATGCGCGTTTCAGAGAGTCCTAGCTCTAAAAGGTCTACTATCCTATCTGACACAAGGTTCGAACATTAAGAGCTCCATCATGCAGTTTAGAGCATGGTTTCACGATACCAGGAATAACATTTCGTGAACTCAAGTCATTAATATTGGTGGCGAATGGTGATAGAAATATGCGAGTAGGGTTAGTCATAGGGATAGGAAAATAATTGATAGGTGAGGAAGGGATTTGATCGTAAACGAGATGATCTCGGGTGCCGAAAGAGGTATGAAAGCGGTTGTCACTTCCCGGTTGCTCACACCACAGGATAGTCCCCCTTGAAGGACCTGAAAAGGAAGCTGAATTAGTGGTGGACCAAGGTCAATCTCTGATGTAAAGCAAAAGAAATTTATCAATTTCCAGAAACCTGATAGTGAGATATCAAATTCTTCATTTATCAGGAATTTGGGTGTGAACAAAACTTTCTGTATGAAGAGTTAGGATACTACCCAACTGACCAAACCAAGGTGAAGTGGGGTTCACGGACGAAACTTGGTAGTGGCTGAAAGTTCAATGCACTAACCTCTAAGCCACTGCCTCACTGATTATGATTGTAAATCACACATTTGTAAAGACAACATGTACACATTTCATTACGATAAGTATAAAAGCAAAACAACCCTGGGATATTGATGAAGAGAACCTACCATACCAACCATATCTGATGCCAACGGTAAAGTTGGATAAACATGAGGATAAATAGTAAGAAATAGGAACCAGCAACCGATACTACCCCATATTGCTAAATGTGATAACCATGTCCATGCGGTATGCTCTAGACCAGCTTTTAAGCAAACCGTCACAACTACATACTGTAAAAATAAAAAATGTGTGTGTGAGAGAAATGAAAATTACATGATTATAACAGGAAGAAAACGAAACAAGGCACCAACATAACACAGATCTAGAACACGTGCTTCACCCGACTAGTACGTGTATTAGTTAAGTCAACAACCGACTATCAAGCAAGAACAGGGGTAGGAAATATATACGACATATCAAATACCTGTCAAAGTATCTACCAGTCTTTTACCCAAGATAACAACCAATCACTATTTTCTCTCGCCCACACAACAAGTTTAGGAATGGAATTTTTCAAACTTAACATACATACATATACACTATTAACTTAAGTCCTTTATGACATGTTATGATATTCCATCTCTCAGGCGGAAAAATGAATACACGAATTCAAATTATTCCCGTAAACACAGATATTTACAACAATCGCTGCTGCTACTGCGTATTTAAAGAATTTGTGACTTGATTACAGTTGTCAGTGCGCATCACGACCCCACCCACATCCGGAAACAAAACTCAGGACATGCGGTTTCACGCGTGAACGCTGGTGGTTGAAAGTCGAATGTATTAATCATTACAATGGTATACACCAGTGTTATTGTTGAGCTTCAATCAATCTACAACATTGAACGAGGTGGTAAACGCACATTGCTGACGGGTCCCATGCTAGAACGAAACGGACATCTAATGTTCCTAGGTTTTCAATGGTGGTCTAGCTAAAACCAGTACGTGGTTTAGGTTGTGCGAGAAAAAAGGTATCAAAACACAACCAGATAGTCTGCACCTAACTACATGACTCAGTCCAACAGTCAATGAGTTCACGGTTTGGTACAATGTTTTGGTCTGCCCGTCCTAAATTTTCTTCCAATCTATTCTGACAACAAACAACATCGTCCATCGAGATAGGTAGTGGTTAAGCATGCGTAACAGATTTCCTATTGATTGATTATCAAATAGCGACTAAGCAATTTCAAGCTTGTTTAATCCTCATCAATATGTTGGTGGTATGTTATCCATTGAGTTATAGTTAGTTACTAATATTTAATTAACTTAACAATATCGACTGCACATTTTGATGTTTAGCATGTTCCTCAATAAATCACTTAATGAACATCAGTATATGGTATTTCGGATAGCGGGATCAATAGAACTATCAAAGAGATAATGATCTTAAGTGAAACCATTTTTAAAAGTACTTATTACAGTTAATTTGCCTGGTAAATGAACAAAAGTTGTCGGACACGATGTACATCGTTCAATATGACAATGAAATTCGATAACCTCAGAGAAATGAGAATAACTAACTTACTGTATAAACACTATTGCCCAAGACTAATAAACTTGAAGTTTGACCATTTGCATAGACAGTACCTTAAATAAGGAAGAGAAAAAGTGTACTCGTGTGTGTAATATGATTTAATAGTTGAATCAACTAAAGCTAGACCATCATGCAAAACCTGGAAAAACTGTACAGACATTTCGTCCCAGTATGAGAATCCTCAGCTCGCGAGATTCAAACCCAGTACCTATCGAATTCCTCTCTTTCATACAAACGCAAGACAAAAAAATAGACAAAGATATGATAACATAAAATTTGTCACCACGGAGTGAATGAAAGGAACAAGGCATCAGAAACTATCAAAACAAATTTCTATTATTATAAACAAATGCTTTGTATTATCCTTTTTGAATATTCACGGCGGAATTTTAGTTAATTTTTGTTAGCATATATGCATACTGTGTGGATTGTCTCGAAATCAGCACATTTCAAAATTTCTGTAGTATAGATGGATTGCAGATAACGGTGGGATGCACTGAGTGGAAACGCGTTGGAAGTTGGTAGCGAAAGTTATTAAGTTCAAGTCCTAATGTGAACATCAACACTAGGATCCATGCACATCTGGCTGATGGGTCTTAACTAGGGAGAAACGTGTCATATTAACCATTTCATTCAATTTAAATTTTCTCTTTACAGCGGCGATGAGTAGCATCTACAACCATAAGAAAGATTAAAGCCAGTGATGGAATTGACTGTCATGATTGGTGACAATACTTGTCTCAATCGAGGGATAGTGATATTCTACCAAATTACAACTTCTCATTGGAACATTTTGTGCATCAATTTGAAATGAATCAGTTTTCAGTAAACTGTAAATCAGTCTGCTCTTCATGAGCCTTAGTTAGCCGTCCAAATATTATTGAAGCTAATATTTTATATGCTATATTAATCAAACTGATTCCTCTGTGATTACTAGAAGAGGATTTTTGTCCTTTCTTATAGACTGGAACAATTAGTGATTGGGGCCAGTCAGATGGGATTACGTCCAGTTCTCAGATTCTGCCTAAGACATCAGTCAATCTCGCTACTAGTTGTGATGATCCAGAAATTTTCTCGCAAAAGACAAGCAAGGATCAGGAAACACTAAAAAACATTTCATCCTATCAGCGTTCACTTGAAGTTTTAGCCAGAAACATCAAGGAAGTGAAAACGTCACATGCAGAGGTTCTGATTGGCTGATTGTTATACTGCTAGTATGTTTAGTAGCATTCAAGAATCTTCGAGCAACCCAAGGACGTTTAAAATATTATAAAAACCCTATATTTTCTGTATTAAAATGAACTTTAGAGTAAAGTACTTTGCGCCTTCTGTCTCGTGTTCAAGTCGCTGTATAATTCTAGCTTGGGGGTTACAAGAATAGGTTAGGAATCAAGTATAGCGTTCAAATCGCAAGACTTATCACTACTATTACTGGACCGCCATCCTTAAAAATCTCAGGGGTAAACATGTCGGCCCACGCTTCGGATTTCCTATAGCTATCTCAACTTCGTAAGGAGTTGGAGCACTTAAATCAACTTGCCATTCAGGTCGGATGGGGATCGCGGGAAACCGAATTGTGAATGAATGCCAGTTGAACTGATTTCTAATGTGTTCTGACCATCGATTCAATCTCGTGGATTGAGAGTGAGTAGTACATTCATCCTTTTCCGAGCATCACTTACATGATCGCCTAACTGTTTTTTAAGTTGTTCTTGAAATGTACTCTTAACTTGACTATCATCAAGTAGGATCCTAAGAGGTTTCCTTGCAGTGTATTTCCTACGTCCAGTAAGACGCAGACAAATACGTGCTCGCAATAGAGCATGATCTGAATCTAAGCATGTGTTCCAGAACGAGAAACAGCATTCTATCGAGCCCCTCCGTCGGTGGCGATGTATTTGGGTCCAACATTGGGACGCATTCAGGGGTCGCCATGTCAAAAGATGTCTTTCTTCATGCTTAAAGTTATTAGAAACCTTACACTATCAACTTATTGTGTAAATTGTCAGGTTGTCTTAATCTAACGCTTGCGTAAATTGTTTCGTTTTTACATCCACTTACACTCTATGCGCTTACTGATATTTTCCTACTAAAAGTAGTATAAAGCTTTATGAATTACTTATTCTTTCACGCCTAATTTCGTTTTTACATTCTGTATTCTTCAGAGTTGTAGTTGTAGTCTTTCACTATTGTTAATACTACCGTGATTTCCTTTTCCCTGTTTTTTTCTTCGTATTATTTAGGATTCTGCTGTTTATGGATGCAGTATTTTCTGGTTTGGTTTCTTACTGATACCTATGATTGCATTGACACGCGATATTGCTTGGAAAATGCAAGTTTCATCTTTTTTTATTGTGCCACAAGGTGTCAGAGTTGCTAGATTCGTATGTGCATGTATGCGTGTCTACACACACTGATATTTTCCTACTAAAAGTAGTACGAAGCTTTATGAATTACTTATTCTTTCACGCCTAATTTCGTTTTTACATTCTGTATTCTTCAGAGTTGTAGTTGTAGTCTTTCACTATTGTTAATACTACCGCGGTTTCGGACTTTATCGGTATTTAATGGCTTATTAATTTCTTCACATTTATCGAATTGAGAAAAATATTACTCGTGCTAAAAGCATTCGAGTTATTATCTTGAATTATTATACTATTGGGGATGCTAGATCCCCAGAAATCATTTAGTAAAAGTCTCATTTTTGTAGTTTTGTTATGGGAAATTGAATTTCTTGTTTTCGCGCCAAAAGCGCACGTTTTCACCTTCAGGTTATATTTCCTACTTGAAAAGACCTTAAAGGTAATTGGTTCGCTTCCCCTTCTAGTACACCATTTTGTGTTGTTTCTCAATTACATTTTTGTTCTGCACATATACGCATGAGTTATGTGCTTGTTTTTTCGTGCTTCCGGGCTGTTTGTGTAAGATTTATATTTTTCCTGACTGAATCTGGTCTGCTCGCTTTAGTTAACAGGGCTGTTGTATCCAGCACTTAGGTTTGCACAACATATTAATTTTAAAAAGCTTACAAACTAAACAATAGAGGATTTTTACTTAGACCTTATGATAAGGTACACACTAATCATAACATTACGCTATCTGAAATTTAATTGATTCGTCAGTATAGCATAGTTTAACTGAAATTTACTTGAACTGTGAACCAGTACGAATTCTGAGCCGAACAGGTTTTCGAAACTGAATATCTCCTGATAACAAACATTTATTTATTACTGAATTATAATAATTCATGCTTTAAACGAAACAAAAATAATTCGTTATATTGCGAGATCATTTTTCTATACTATTGACGGTTTCGTTGGCTCACATTAATGGTTTAAACTACTCTGGTCACTTCTCACTAGACGTTCCTAAAAAACCAACCAAATATAAACAATGTTGTATCATAATATACAATTTTTGATTTTTCTGAATTACATACCTACAGAGAAAGCCAATAACGGAATCCAAAATAGGAGGGATGAATGATAAATTGAATTGAGAATCCAACAAAAGAAAACCTGCAATTGATAAAATGATAACACATTATATTAGTTGCCTGAAATTTCTTTGCGAAGTAGTGAGATTTATTTTTGGTCACCTAAAAATATGTGGGGGTGGTGTGCTAATTTACAGACTGTTGAAAAATTATGCAAACTGGGGTTCGAACCTGAGATCCATAATTAGAATTTGAGTGTTCCAACCTCGAAGACGAACTCCTAATTAGTATTAGTGATAAAAAATTAAACCGACTTTTAATGAAAACGAGGGTTTTACAATTAAATCACTCGCACTATCGCACAAGGCGCACGGATCAAGCTAAATTTTTTAATTACCAGGCACCTAACAAAGACTCATGGACCGCCAACACGAGAAAATCAGGCTGGCTTCAGACCTGGTCGTGGCTGCATCGACCGCATATTCACCATTCGTCAGATTCTAGAACACAGGCATACTTATCGGCGTCCGGCAATGGTGGTCTTTCTTGACATTTGATTCTGTAGATCAAGAGGTTCTTTCGCAGTGTCTGTCATTGGAAGGTGTACATCAGAAGTATATAAACCTTGTGAAGACTTTACTCGAACACTACTAGTCGAGTCAGAGATTACGGCGAACTGTCATCTGCGTTTGCAACCTCAAGTGGTGTCCGTCAAGACTGTCCACTATCTCTATTGTTCAATTTCATTATAGACATAATGTTGGAAATAACGCTCTCATTGACTGAATTTTCGAGCATTGATCTCCTTCCAAGAGGTCTACTTATCGACTTAGAATACGCAGATGACATAGTCTTGTTTGGTGAAGACCCTCACAAAATGCAGAGTATTTTGGTAGCACTGAGCAACAATGCCAGGATACTTGGGATGCATTTCTTCGCCTCTATATGCAAGTTGTTGCTTCAGGACTGGGGATAGGTAGTGAAGTAGTCGAACGCATCGACAAATTCACTTATCCCGTAGATCTGATCAGCCATAATGGGTTGGTGTCTGACGAAATCTCAGATATTTGTCTATCAACTAAGGGACGAGTATACTGCGCGACAGTTCGTTCTGTTCTACTTGACGGCTGCGAATCGTGGCCATTAAGAGTAGAAGATACTTCTAAGCTACTAGCATTTGACCACAGATGCTTTAGGAATATTGCTAGCATCTGCTGCGATCATCGGGTAAGTAATAGTGAGGTTAGACGCAAGGTATTAGGGAATGATGGTAAATCAGTTGATGAGGTTGTAAATATTTATCGACTGAGATGGTTGGGCCATGTATCTTTTGATAGATTTGAGGAACAGTATTGGGGTCGTACTAGGACATCTGCAGTTGGTTTATCGATAGAACTAAAGTAGTCACCTCGCGAACCAGAACACTATCGAGCAAGCGAGGTTGTGCAAACTGCAACCCGATAGCTGCTTACGACCTAGGTCGTCACTAACTTTCCCGTCGTGGTAATCGGTGTTCAGGCGTAAGTAACACGTGACACAACCATCTCAGTCGATGAAGATTCATAACCTCATCAACTGATTTACCATCATTCCCTAATACCTTGCGTCTAACCTCACTATTACTTACCCGATGATCGCAGCAGATGCTAGCAATATTCCTAAAGCATCTGTGGTCAAATGCTAGTAGCTTAGAAGTATCTTCTACTCTTAATGGCCACGATTCGCAGCCGTCAAGTAGAACAGAACGAACTGTCGCGCAGTATACTCGTCCCTTAGTTGATAGACGGATATCTCGCCTTCGCCATAGGTGACGTAAGTTGGTAAAAGCCGAACGCACTTTTCGAATCCGTACTGAGATTTCGTCAGATACCAACCAAGTCTATAAGTGGACCTCCTGGAAGGAGATCAATACCCGAGAATTCACACTTTATTTTCACTAACAAAATTGGTTTCAGTATTTATTTATCACTAATATAATTTATTTTGGGTTTTTTCTAAATTGCCCTTGTTAATTTCATCTCGTTATGCTAATGTAGGTGATATAGAAACTTAGGTCAACGAAAATTTGTTCCAGGTTTTAACGATTATACCTTGAACTGAGAAAAACTGATCTTACAGTAAAGCTAGATTTTGTATGATCAAGGAAGATGTGATTAGACATGGTGTCAACTGGAGAGCATAGTTAAAAATTAAGTAGAATTAGACTTTCGTCTCCTCCTAGTATGATGCTTTTCAGTAGTGGACATGGAATATGTATCTTTTAAAAAACAACCCTCAACGGATGTTGGCAAAAGCCCTACAGATATAGTTAATATTTCAAATCGTAAATAAAGGAACACAATACATTATGACATGAAAATTCACAACAGTAACTACATAGAAAAAATACTAATCACACATAAATTCTAAATATTAGTTATTAATTAATTCATTCGCAAGGTATATATCAGTTACACTTCAAGTGTGACGGCTGACGATACTACCTGGTTGCTCAGAACGAAATAGATGGAGCGCCGTTCCAGCCAGAAAGTCTAAATGTTTCAACCACCATTAAACCGCATATGGAATACGATAATTAACATAGACTCACTTTCGGATTAAACGAAGCTGATGCTTGAGTATCTTTGTACAATTCTGGATATTTTAAACAATTATTAACACTACAACTTCGATCAAATAGTCCTAAAGCCATTGGTGGAGCTGCAGTGAATATCTACGTGTTTACAACAAGACAAACAATAAAAGGAGGATGTAAATATAAACAGGATGACAAAGAAAAATTAAATGACTTTTAGTGGATATCTAATTATGATCAATTCGTGATGTAAATCATGAATTTTCCTAAACTCTTTGTTCTAAAAATATTATTCTCTTGTTTCAGTCTTATGTAATAATAAGAACATTTGACAGAAATATATACTCTATATCTGAAACTGGGATGGTACACGCTTAACAGCGTAATAATAATGATAGCGATAGTCGGTGTTAAGTGGTGGTTGAAGGTAGTCGACAAAAAACCCTTCTTGACCTAGGTTTCGTTCTATTTGATACTCGTCAGTGTAGTCAAGAGTTAACGTATATTGCCGTATCACTCAGCCTTATAATCAGAGATGTTACCACTGACTTAGACCATGATTGACCTCCTGTAGGATTGAGATTTATTTGCATCTGACTGATCACTGAATAGATACCAATGTCAAGGATCGAACTCAGTACGTTCTGACCTTACACCAGAATGAAAATGAAAGCGCCCCAAGTATTTTTTATTTACCAACAAATTAAACTACAATAATCTAGTTTACACTTTATCTTAAGACAATAATACACAATTTAATCAGCCGAAATTATTGGATTGATCAAAAAGCTCATCTCAAATGAACAAATGAATTTTCTTTAAAAAGAGACTAAAAACAGCTGTCGACTGGTGCCAAGATACTGGCGTTGCTTTAAAAAAAATTTATACATATTATTGATCATTAGGAAAACTCAGAACTTTGTATTATGCTTACGTATCATCATCAATTCACAATAACAATTGATATTTTCCAGTACGTGCTTATAAAAGGCCGTTGTGTTGTACACTCTACATTTCGCGTCAAAAGTGCTTTAGGGAGATCGGTTCGATTTGTGTGTTATATAACCGATATACATATTTACTAGGTTCTATGTTACATATGTCTGACTAACATTATTGAAGGGTCTATCCTCATACGAAACAATTGCCCAGTAACCTCTGGTTGCTTTAGTCAAGTTTACTGGGTGCATGTAAACTGTTACTTGAAATGAAAAATCCCATCAAGATAAAAACAATGTATTATCAATACAGCTTATCGACCACTTACCACATTATATAAACCAATACTCCATCGTTCAAACACAATTTGACCAGAAAATCCACTTAGTATGGCAAACCAAAATTGTATTAAATAAAGACAAACATTCTTATAAAACGAATAAAGTATTAATTTAGTCAATCGATTATAATTCCATGCACCATGTACTAAAAGTAATTTATTTAGGAAACGGAATTGGGCTATTGCATAATCTGATGCACATGCTGCTTGTCTGCCTTCCATGCCACTTATCCCAACACCTACATGAGCGGCCTACAAAAAATAAAGACGGATATAAAAATTAGAAATGAAATGCCATGAGATTTTATGCAATCACCGAAAAAACAGTAGGTTTGCTGAAGATTTATTGTTTTGCAATGAACGACCTGTCGTCAAATACGGAAGCATTGTTGATACAAAGAATGGGAATCATCAATGTCAGATCGATACAACTTGATGAAATTCACCAAGAGTCCTGTAATATTCCTTTACCAACAGTGAACTATGTTGTTGATAGTCAAGTGTCTGAAATCTTCACCGATGATACACTTCGCGACTGCGAAGATTCACCTTAAGTTGACGTCGAGATAATTTAACACTTATTTGTCAGGTTACAGTTATCACAAGCCCGCTCGCTCGATAGACAGAATAAATACAACATGGCAAGTAGATAACTTCTGATCACAGTTCAATTCTATGACCCAACTCAGACGACGTATGCCTGAACACCCATTACCACGAAGCGGAATGTTGACTAGTGTTGGGGATGGTTGGGAGAAAGTTAGGGGCGGCCAAACCAAAACGTGGCATCACTCCATAAAGTCACTAACTTCTAGTCTTAGCCATGTTGATAGATGCAGACCACTTGGTTGGGATCCGCGCCACTATTGTAACCAATGGTTGGAGACTGTGGGTGACATGGCTCAGAATCGATCACAATGGCGTAGATGTATACACTTTCTCTCTTCCTCTGAACTAAGAGATTAAAATCGCTTTATATCTTTCTTTCTACGAACTGAATTTGTTGTTTATCTTGTTGTGCTACAGAGGTCTGGCAACTTTGACCGATGAATATATGTGCCTGGTCCTACGTTGTAGCTGTCTGACCGACTGACTGACTGAACAGATACAGTTAATAAATGTCATATGTATGTACTTGCAAAATACATGTACGTTGAATGGTTAGAAAGATGGGTATCTATAAGTTTTGTTGAACATATCCCGAAGAACTTGTGACTCCGAAGACTAAGTTCTGCTTAGTTAATTATACAGCACTATATCTAATGGAAGCCGATACGTAAAGTAGGTGCAATGAACGTATTCAAGATAATAAAAAAATAATTCAATTTTACATTGTTAAGATTTTTAAATGTCACAGCAATTGTGGCTGTCAAGATGGAACTGAAGCCCAAGTAGCACTGGAGAAACAGCATTACGAAGGTTTAATAGAGTCTTCCTTCGAGGTACTGACAAGCACGACGAATTCAAGATCGCTCTCAGCAGCAGGTTCTAAACCTTACAAGATCTACTCAAAGATGAAACTACTATGAAGAAAAACTGGAAAGGGACCAAAGAATAATTGATTTAAACGTGTCGGAAGGTTCTGGGCCTGAAGAAGAAGTATCATAACGGATGGATCTCCATTAAAACCCTGTGCAGAATTCAAGCAAGGAAAACCAAGAAGACGGCAGTCGAACAAGAGCAGAGAAAGCCAAGGTACAGATGGAATACACAAAAGTAAACAAGCAAGTGAAGAAGAACATTAAAGCCGACAAGCGGAAATACGTGCAAGACCTAGTAATGGCAGCAAAAAAAGCTACAAGAGAAGGAAATATGCCCGACCGTTGTTGCTACCTTGACGTGGTCGTCGGGTTCGCCTATCGTGATGAAGCAACTGAGCTACACTGGCTGGAACAACCGTTCTTCAAGGTCCTACCATGCCAGACAGACCGGTTGAAGAACGGTAAGACTAAAAGAAACAAATCCAAGGTCCGAAGGCGAAGTCGTACTGCTGACTGTACAGAGGTGTGACAGCAGTAAGATTATTCCTTCAGACAACCAGCATGACAGCGATGCTATCTTTCCACAAGTAGGGGTGGGGTTAGAAAATGTCGACCCTAAGAATGCACACCTCGCCTTATCCCACGGATTTCCGTCTCCGGCAGTAAGGTCTCAACAAGTATGGAGCTAACACAAAAACTACTCACAAAAAGGTCGTGTGTGACTGACCTCAAGCAGATGTCCCTTGAGCACTGCTGTCACGCTCTCAGGTCACTATGACCACCTCTAATCCAATTTTCTTTTCAGGAACCTCTAGAAGAACCTTTCCATAGTGTGCGCAACCGGGAAGTGATAACCACCCTCATACCTCTAACAGAACTCAAGACCACTGTATCCATAATCAATTCCCCTCTTCTATTCCTATTCTTCCTCCTACATCGACTTTCACCACTAAACTTCCTCTCAAGCGTCACCATAGCCAACGATTCTAGTTTGCAAAGCACTGTCCCAAGTTTACTGAAACTTCGCTTCCAACTATACAGAGCTTTCAACGTATACACCATATGTCAAATCGACCAGCAGGCCTCTTTGGCTGAAACACTAGAATCTCGTACCATCGATGTATGCTGTGTCTCCGAAACACACATACAAGATCCTAGTGTGTTCATTCACTTGACCTAACCTCGCGAAAACGAATAGCCGACGAGATACACCCTCTGTGTATCTGGAAACACAATAGCAAGTTCTTGTGGACTGGCGGGTGTAGACATAACACTAAGTACGAGGGCGGAACAAACACTATTAGCGTGGATCCCCGTTAACAGTCATCTATGTGCTGTTCGGCTAAACGGCTCAATAAGAACTCGGAAGGATAGGGACACATGTCGTTGCCTTTTCGTTGTTTCTGCCTACGTCACCACTGACTGCGACCTTATTTATTTGAACACAAATATTGGTACAAGGGCACACAAGATATATATGCGCCACACAGAACAATGAGAATGGGAAGAGAAAAAGAATGTAAGGTGCGTATAAAAAAAAGAACAATAACGACCACAGATTAGTATATGGTAGTGAAATAACAATAATAATAATTGGGGGAACGGAAAGGTACAACCAGAAGGAATTCTTTCAGTTAAGGAAGTTACAACCACTTTTTATGAAGAAAGTAAAATAAGTTTACAGCAGGATCGCCACTGGCTTCCATTCTGAACCATATCTGATAACGTCTCTAGCCACTGTGTTGCACCATCTCTCGGACCCCAGCCAGGGAGTCGTGAAGGACCAACAGAAGACGATGACTTTTACAGAAAGCTTTCTGAACTTATTAAAAAGCTAAACACCTAGATATAGTACTCGTAGCAGGTGACTTTAATGCCCAAGGAGGTAGTATAAGCCAAACAGAAAGACACTTAGGTTGGTATTTTAGTATTCCGGCTCAGAGAATAGATAATGGTGATCGTCTGCTGCAATTGTACTCAGACAATGGTTTGTTTTTAGGGAACTAATTTTAAGCATAAGGAGAGGCATCGTCTAACATGGCGACCCCTGCATCAAACCAACGATGGACTCAAATAGACCATATTGCCATCAGCCATCGTTGGAGAGGGTCGATAGAAGACTGTCGCTTGTTCTGGAATACCTGCTTGGACTCCGACCATGCTCTAATACGGGCGCGCATTTGCTTGCGCCTCAGGGGACGCAGAAAAGGCACACCAAGAAGACCCATTAGAATTGTGTAACAAAGTACCAATAGATTTCTCCTAGGTCTATTGCACTGATGAATTCTCGTAAACTCATCCCATCATGCTCTGAACACGATGATGAACGAAAGCAAATCAGATCTAGGTTAAGCAAAAGTCTAAGGAACGACTGTGAGCAGTGGTGAGCATCGAATGCAAAAGAGATGGAAAAGGCGGCTATAGGGAACACAAGACAGCTCTTCAGACTCATGAAAGAAACTGGAACTAAGAACTGACGTATAAGTGAGACTATCTCGGAAAAATATGACACTCTTATCTGCTCTCAACCCAGACGTTTAAAACGATGGGTGGAACCCTTTAAGGAGTAGTTCAGCTGGCCTTCCGTTACTCTACAACTACCCACCATTTCCAGACAGTGTGAATGGAACATTGAAGTAGGCCCTCCAACTCTAGCTGAAGTTCCAAACGCTATAACTAATCTGAGGTCTTTAAGGATGGTGGTCTAATTTTAGCGACTAGGTTGACCAATATTTTAGCTAGAATGTGGGAACTGAATGTAATTCCATCTGACTGGTCGTAATCACTGATTATCCCAATATATAAGTAGGGGTCAAAATCACCCTGTGATAACCATAGAGGGATTAGTTTGACCAATATAGCATCTAAAATACTAGCCTCAATAGTTATCGGATGCCTAACTACGACTCCTGAACTGTAAACACGAGAAAATCAGGCTGGCTTCAGACCTGGTCGTGGCTGCATCGACCGCATATTCACCATTCGTCAGACTCTAGAACACAGGCATACTTATCGGCGTCCGGCAATGGTGGTCTTTCTTGACATTTGATTTTGTAGATCAAGAGGTTCTTTCGCAGTGTCTGTCATTGGAAGGTGTACATCAGAAGTATATAAACCTTGTGAAGACTTTACTCGAACACTACTAGTCGAGTCAGAGATTACGGCGAACTGTCATCTGCGTTTGCAACCTCAAGTGGTGTCCGTCAAGACTGTCCACTATCTCTATTGTTCAATTTCATTATAGACATAATGTTGGAAATAACGCTCTCATTGACTGAATTTTCGAGCATTGATCTCCTTCCAAGAGGTCTACTTATCGACTTAGAATACGCAGATGACATAGTCTTGTTTGGTGAAGACCCTCACAAAATGCAGAGTATTTTGGTAGCACTGAGCAACAATGCCAGGATACTTGGGATGCATTTCTTCGCCTCTATATGCAAGTTGTTGCTTCAGGACTGGGGATAGGTAGTGAAGTAGTCGAACGCATCGACAAATTCACTTATCCCGTAGATCTGATCAGCCATAATGGGTTGGTGTCTGACGAAATCTCAGATATTTGTCTATCAACTAAGGGACGAGTATACTGCGCGACAGTTCGTTCTGTTCTACTTGACGGCTGCGAATCGTGGCCATTAAGAGTAGAAGATACTTCTAAGCTACTAGCATTTGACCACAGATGCTTTAGGAATATTGCTAGCATCTGCTGCGATATGATGGTAAATCAGTTGATGAGGTTATGAATCTTCATCGACTGAGATGGTTGTGCCA